ATAGCATGCAAATGTTCTGGTTCATACCTAAGTTGAGTACATTGTAAGGCAATCTTCTTAAGTCTTTAGTCTCTCTAAACAACTGTAAATATCCAAGTCCTTGAGAAATGTGATGGGCATGCTGAAGACATCTGTCTGCTACCAAAACTATCAGCCAAAGAGACACATGTAGAATGAGAAAGAAATGAAAGAGAGGATATGTACTCCCAAACCAGCTGASATCATTTGGTTGTACTACAAACAGGGCAATTGCCAGGCCAATCTATTGGGMACAATCAAATTATCCATTTAGTAAAAGAACAGTAAGAAAGGATTGAACTAAAGAAAATGAAAAAAGAAGAAGAAATGCAAGAACCATTGTAAGCAATGTTCCTAAACCTCAGGACAATTCAAAGTGTCATCAAAGTGAGATAGCATGTGGACTCACAATAGTYAATGATATCTGTGATTAATTAATACTTCTTGGTGCAAAAATATCAACATAGCATTATAGCTATCACAACTCTTGTTTTAAAAATACAAAAAAAAGTAAGAATGTGAAAAGGTAGGAGTACGCCARCTTACAAATAAAATTATAAGAGCAATTCCAATCCAAACTGTCCGTAGCTTGTGGAATTTTGGTYYAGTGACGAGTTCCGCATGAATAGATGAAACTTCTTGTGACATGTCCAGACTGTTGGTTTGGACTGCTGGTGTCGAATGTTCATCTTCATGATCAAAAAAATATCCCTTCGATAAACAACAATCATRTTAGTATAYGGCACCATTTATGATAATTATGATATTTATGGYATTCTAGTAGAGGGCCTCTGCCCTCAGACTTGGACAACAGTTTCGAAAGATCTCGATTCAGCTACTCAAATTTGAGCAAAATTTTAAGCTTAAAGAAACTTATTATCAGTTGAAAGTAACTTCGGTATGCTGAAATGCAGATTGTGTTTTGAAATGTCTGGCTCTACAGTTTACTTTTGAAAATATATCACTGTATMTTGAATACCATTTGTATAGAAGAGGGATAAAAGAGCGAAAAGCYTGCATGCTTGTCAACAAACAAGGAACCAACTGAACTTGATTCTTGAAGATTTTGATCTTGTTTTTTTTACTTTTTGCTACTTAAAGCGAGACTACTTACCCCTTGTCCTTGCTCAACACTTAGGCTGACCATTACTGGCTTTTAATGGCAAGAAACATGCCATAAACTGGTCGGCATAAAGTCCATGCTCGTATCTGCTTCTATGTGGAAAAATACTTTGATCACGAGACTTTCTTTCATTGCAATAATTGTGTTGGGAGTCCTGTGGTGTWCTAAAAAACACTCGTCAAAATTGCTRAAATATATAGAAGTACGTCTAAAGAAAAAAAAGCTTTTCAAAACCACACCAAACACCAGTTAGAACGATAATATTAAGAGTTGTTGAGACTTTTATTTTCTTTGTGCACTTTGACGTCCCTTGACCTACTACAATATGGGCTTCCTGTGCTGWTAAACATGGCGGTCAAACCACTGGTATCCCGCTTTGCGGTCCTTGGAGGTGGAATTTCAGGCCTTTCAGCTGCTTATTTTTTGGCTAAGAGGCATGCAGACCCTAGTAAAATAACACTTATTGAAGCTAGTCCTCGCTTAGGTGGATGGATGCATAGCATCAGATCGAACGATGGTGCAATCTTTGAGCAAGGACCTAGAAGCTTACGGCCTGCAGGACCTGCCGGATGGGCCACATTGAAATTGGTACTTCAGTCATTTGCTTATTGTAATAAATAGTTCGTGTTTTTGAGACTTTGAGATTCTTTTTCAATTTTTGTAAAAATGCAAACTTTTGTCCCTCATTTTTYTTGTATTACATAACCCGAGGGGTAGGGGGGTCACTGAAGAGATTTCAGGTTCATTTTTTGTTTATTTTGATTGCTGCATGTTGCTATTAATGTTTTATTTTATTAATTTACACCCATTTATTTAGGCAAGCGAGTTGGATCTTGAACCTCAGATAATCCCAATAACAAGAMRTCATATTGGTGCTCAAAACAGATTTATTTACTCAAATGGCAAAGTGCATAAACTTCCCAGCAGTATCTTATCCATCATCAGAAAGCAATCTCTATATTCCAAATCACTTTTGCCAACAATATTAAAAGAACCATTTATAAAGAAAAAAGATGATGATAGTGACGAGTCAGTTTATGATTTTTTCTGCAGACGACTTAACAAAGATGTGAGCAAATATAAACATTATTACTGTGGTGCATGATTTTATAAGTATTCATTTCCATTTGATAATACTTTATTTCTCGTCACATTCTTTATATCATTTTCCTTCACAATCACCAATGCTTGACTGCCATTGTCAATGATGTCAATTGTCTTATTTGTCGTAATGAAAAATCATCCTGMAATATCAAATGTGCTCCAACAGCTTGCCCAATACACTGCAGATCCAATGATCCGAGGCATTTTTGCTGGAGATGCAAGACTCCTCAGTTTAAAGTCTGCTTTATCRCCAGTTTACACCATGGAAAAATCTCATGGTTCTGTGGTCAAGGCTGCTATCTTTCCAGGAAAAACTAGTAAGTAAAGATGTCTAATTTTTGATATGTTGCGCTTTATATGTAATTAAAACCACAGTTTATTTACAGAGGTTTTAATTAAAAAATGGAAGTACTGGTAATTATTTGTATAGTCTCTCTGATATTTGGGACAGTCTTTAGAACTTAATTTGTGTATTTTTTKATCATAACAGCAACACCAGATTCCAATCCACTAGTTCAAAGATCCATCAAAGAAAAATGGAGTATTTGGTCCCTGCAAGGCGGCCTACARACACTTGCAGACAAGATATATGAATCRCTGCTKGATATGGGAGTACAAGTTCTACTAGATACACCATGTCATGAAATTGAATTCCAGCAGGACGGTTCCRTRAGCCTCCATACAAGAAACCAAAAATTGGTCCACGACCATCTTTTCTGTTCTTTGTCTGCTTGTAGAGTGTCTCCATTGTTGCATGACTCACTTGCCAAGTTAAAGAATGATTTGAMCAGCATAAAATCAGTGTYCGTAGGCCTAGTTAATCTAGAATACCAAGGAAATGTAATCAAAGATGGTGGTTTTGGTGTCCTAGTACCATCGTCAGAACCAGTGAAAGTCTTAGGAATAATTTATGATTCATGTGTTTTCCCTCAACATRACAGCAAAGCAGATTCCAGCAGATTAACCGTGAGTTACACAAATGCTGCTTTAATTTACTATTGCAAACTTAAATGCTTTCCACTMTGACTTTCATTGTTAATAGAAAAACAGTAAATGAGTAATATTGTATTTTCACCATCCTTTTCACTCATTCAACCATCCTCTCTCTTGTTCCATCCTCTCTCTCATTCATTCACAATCCTGCCGTTCACTTCCAGGTTATGATGGGTGGTCATTGGTTCAATGAACACTTGGGTGACCCCGACAATATAACATCAGATACTCTCATTAACACTGCACTGGATGGAGTCAGGAAAATACTTGGTGTGACACAARATCCAATGCGTTCCATGGCTTCAGTACAAAAGAACTGCATTTCACAGTATACCATTGGACATAGTGACAGAATAGACAGAATATTTAGTTACATTCAAGAAAAGAAACTACCAMTGTCTCTAATTGGTGCTTCATATAAAGGGGTTTCTGTCAATGACTGTGTTTTAAATGCTAAAAAAGCTGTTGACGAATTATGAAGTGGGTAGCACCATTTATTAGGTTGAAACATAACCAATTTTGTAGGGAATAAGGTTTTGTGCTGTATTACAGCATGTAATGAATTCTGAATAAAAGTCAGAGAATGTTAATAATAAATTTGTAAAATGCACATAGCATAGTTATTTAAAATTMTTAAAATTACAATGTAAATAATGATGCTTGCATATTAAAAAGATGAWTGATTGACATTGAAAATGACATAAAATATTCTTAATATCTTGAGCTTCTTTGATCACGGTAACTTCTCGCTTTATGAATGCTGTCATTGTGATGGGAATGATGATGTTTGGATGAATTTCTTCCRTGTCGGTCTTCATCATAAGAATCTCGTCTCAGTGATCCATGTCGTGAAGTTGACGAGCTTCTATGATGAGAACTAAGTTGATTGGTAGGTGTTTGGTATCCATAGTGATYAGAGACAGTTTGWTCATAAMTATTTTGCCTCATAGGCCCTTGAATGAAAGGTGAATTTAAATACTGATTTTGAATTGGGGTTACATGGCGATTTGAATGATTTTGCTCAAAGCTGTTTTGTCGGACTGGGACAGGGAAATTTGGAGAACCCATCAAGGATGATGGYGTGAGTGGACTTTGTGAGCCTCTATTTCCAGAACCACTAGGAGTGGAACTTCCTGTTTGTGGTCTGACAACAATCTTTTGTCCATATAAGGATGTGCCATCAAGAAGATCAATGGCATAGGGAACAGACACTGGACTTGTAAAAGTTACAAAACCAAAAGATTTCTGGACACCTCTYTCTTTGTCTGTGGGAATTTTAACTCGTTCTAGAGGTCCTGCCTGTGAACAAAACAATAAACATAGGCTTAGCTAATTTATACATTATTATAAATATCCGACTTTTACCAAAGAACTATTGAAACTTGCAAATGTTGAAATATAAAAGTCTTCTAAAAACTCATGACTTTCGAGGATTCGAATCCTTAAACATGAATGCAGAAACGAGGTTATAGCACATTCAGGATTCTACAGGTCACTAAATGTAAACATATAAGCTTAAGCTTACTTTGTTCTCKAAAGATTTGAAGTATCAATAGTTAAATAGTTCAATGCATGCTTTTTAGATTCTTGGGTTGCTTGTTTTGAATCGCATTTGACCAATTATTACCTGCAAAAACAGCTCAAAAATTAACTCTTCGGTGACTTTCTGATCAATACTACCAACATATACTGTGCAATCTCTATCACTGTACTCCACGTTCGACATCACCGCAATAAAAGRAACAATTTTCTGAAAAGATTAAAATTGAGTTGCTCAGTTGCAAGAGGTTGGTCAGCGGTTTTCGTGTTTAGTACTTATTCTCCAGCGGTAAAAGAGAAGTTGAATGAAAACAGTCAAAGCAGAAGTACATAGCCATGTACTCCTGATGAAAGTTAAGGTCAGAACAAAAAAAGAAAACATGGCTTACTTGTTGACAAGCAAAGGGAATGAAAAATAGATGAAGACGAAAAAGAAAAAAAGAATGGCAAGAGAAAAAAAATCGGCAAAAGAAAAAAAATTACCCCAAATAACAATCTTTATAACTACATGACAACAACATCATTCGTTCATAGATAGCAGTTGAAATGAACGTAATCACTGAAAAGACTATTGTCATTTCTCACAGAAACTAGTCTCCCTCTCAGCGGTGTTAGGTCGTGCRTCATTTCTGCCTCAGTAAACCGGCCGCCACTATGTTGCCAGTAGGACTGTTCCGAATAGTTAGAGAGTTATCGACGTCTCACTGTAATATCACAAAGCCCGCCCCTAAAATATTCMTTTTGAATTCAATTACAATCCGCGAAAAAAGMGATAAATGAAATGATTGTAGAAAAGTTGCGCAGAAAATCGGTTTCTGAAGTAAATAACGTGGAAAACAGGAACTCGAAAATAATTAGTGATAAGTAGAATAAACAGAACAATGATATAATGTGATATTAGTGCGCGGCAGTATTTACACTGATAGTTGAAGAGATTTCATGCTTGCCATAAGTAATGTAAACAATATAATCATTCTTCGTCAGCTGTATACTTTTGCGTCTTCGCAGCGGCGTTTTTTATCAGTTCCTTGAGCAAGAAAACAACACTCTTGTCTCGAAGATTGATATGAAAGGAGATTCAGAGATGAATTCAGAACTTCACAAAGGGGTGGAGGGGGGAAGGGGAGGGGRGAGAGCTAGCCCCCAAAAATATATGAAAAAGATGATGATGGATTTTCAGAATGAGTCGCATTCAGATTCCTCTTTTAGTCTCTATCACAAACATCATAATTCCTATCTCTATATCTTTGCACCCCTCTCCCTAGATCTGCTCTTAGATTCATGGCGTTCATGCTGTCATGTTTTGATCATGTATATTGACGATGTATGTCCAGGAGGGCGAAGTGCATACTCACTGCCAGGAGCTGTTATCACTTAACACTTAATAGAAATTACTACTAATACCGGTAGTGAGGGTGTGGTTTAATGTTATCATGATATAAAGGTTGGGCGTGATCTTGATAGAATAACGATGGAAATTCTAGTTTTTRATGTGKACCGGTATAAACCAGTGAYAAACGAATTGCAAGTTATTGTAAATGTCATGCGAAAACCTTGTTGTCTAGACCCGTAGTCTGTCATGTAATCTTTTCCCTTCCGCACGTCGTGAGCGCACAAGTATACTCGAGTGAGCATCGTACTAATCCCAAAATGTATGATGATATAATGGCATATTTATAAGGATGTTTATCACATCATTGCTGCTATTTTAGGCCTTCCCTGCAAGCATAATTGTTATATTGATCTAATGAGAGCCTGAATGTCAGTTCTGAAGGATGCTTGATAAGAGAGTACATTAGATGCTCTAGTTTCTTCTACACAGCTGATAAAGCCTGTGTGTCGTGTTTAGATCTCGCACCAAATAATTACTTTAGCTGYTTTTTTAAAGCAAGTACAATTTTCAAATSCCAAAGAATAGCTCCTGKTCACAGTGGGTTTGGTCTTTCTGTTTCTGATGCGGAATCATGTAAGAGTTTCAAGAGTTTGGTTGCAATAACGCCCGACGGCACAATTCATCAGTTGTCTGCATAAAAGATCTCAGTTACTTATTCGTTTAACGCTTGTTGCCAGTGCAATAATTAAGTAAAATACTGCCATTATTTCTCTTATCCCCTATCGCTAGAAGCAATATAAAGAATTAACTAAAAGAAAAGACCTTCAATTCTTGATAACTTAAGAGAAAGTTTCACTTTACTTCTGTTTTTATTCTATTTTTTGAATGGTGAGTTCTCATTCTTCATCCGATCATAATAATCTCCATTTATGAATTGACGCAAGTATTAACAACACACTTATAGTGTAGTCACTTGATTTAGAGAGGTTAAGTGAAAGGATAACGCTTTTTAATAAAGCTACTTGCTATTAAGCCGATAAACTACATTTTATGGCTTACTTATAGCACTTTAAATACAGTAATACACTCAAATACTTTATATTTTACAAAATGGAAAGTGTAATAAATTACACTCAAGAGACGAATTTAAATAATACTGAAAAAAGAACTTTGCCATGTTAATTGAGTTTGTTCATGTAGCTCTAGAATAAAACATTAAATTTAACGTTAAGCTTCTTGAGAATTTCCAGGAGATTAAAGGAGAAACTAAGTGTTGTATAGCTGTCTTTTAAGATTAGTATCACTAAGAAGCGTGCAGTAAAGCTCACATTATTAGCATTATCGGTAAAAGAGTAGAAGTGGAGTTCCATCAGGGCACTAACAAGAGACCTTATCTCTTTGTTTCAACCTACGCAGCAAGCGTCGTTACAGACTTCAAATTGTTATCATTTTAGCAAATGCTTGTCAAAATCGGCTAACGCTCAGTCCGTAAGCTTGTAGTCACCAAGTTTCTAGAGTTTAGAATCTTGGCTCACTGCATCAAGCTCACCTCATTGCGCGTATTGTAGACATGTGAGKCTGCGGTAGGTGTTTTGCAGGTTGGTCATATTGCTTATGTGTAATTTATAAGGTTGTTTATTGTTGCACATTTCATTGAGTTAAATCTCTATTTTACCGCATAGCAGGAAATATTTGGATACGAAGATTTTCGCCTTTGTTTTATGCTGTTCAAATCCGCATCTAATCTTTAGAAAACAGGCATTGCGCGCTGTAAATGAACAGAAATAGCTGACTGGATACGATAACGTGTCGTCGTAAGACCGTCCAATACGCATTCACGCTAGCAGAGTTTCATTTGATCAATTTGTCTTCAAAGTACTATGATCTTGTTGTACTAATAACTACAAGAGAATTGTATTAATCGCCAGATGGAAGAACTCGTAAACAAAGCTTTGGAAAAAATAATAAAGAGCACTGAGAGCGGGAAATGAAGTGCCATACAGGGCAGAATTGTTTGATTGACACGCGAATTTTTCTTCGATTACTTATGGATAAGCCTTTCAGAAGCCTTTTCTAAAACAGCCTTACGCATTGGATTGTGGTCTAATATTTTATCTTTTGTTAAGCGGCTAAACTGATAAGGTGTTGTTTGTACTGTACACTTCAATGTTCTGTGATTTTGAGCTCCTGGAATGAAAAATTATAATTTAGTCTCACTTTGGCATCTGCTTGTTTCATGTTCCAGATATTGATCTAGTCTCTCTCGGACTGAAAGTACCAAAGGCATCCCGCATAAAAACAGGAGCGATCGGCATAACTGCCCAGTTTAACCTTCCTTTCCAAGAATTTAACTGCGTGATGAATATACTGATTATAAGTCTAAGGTCCAATTGGATTGTTTGAACAATTTGTATACATCTTTTAA